ATATATATATATATATATATATATATATATCAATTTATAAAATAATAATAATAAAATATATTATTTTATTGATTTTGATTTTTTTAATCAAGGTTCAAGTTTTAAGGTATTTGACACCCCAAGAAGGTGCCATTAACACTCCCCATATAATTTAAGCGAAAGTCGAAAACATGATACGAGGACACGAAAAAAAAACCCAATATAATCTCATTTATTTTATACTAAGTTTCATCAAGAACTCCCAAACTCCAACACCAAACCAAAAAAAATGGATTCAAAATACCAGAATCCGATTAAAACTTAGAATCTGATGAGGAACGATGATCTGAGTTATCACAACAATCCATCAGTTCTTGCCGGCAATCTCCGGAAAAAATTCATCGGCACCGAAGGTAGCCGATGTCGAAACTTCGGATGCCGCAAAACGAAGAAACCCATGGCCAAAACCACCAATTTAATAGGAACAACATAAAGAACGATAGCCAACACAAAGCAGAATACGAGAAACATAGTCGTGGCTCGTGGATCACGCCATGATATCAGATTCTGAATCCTCTCCCCTTGAGTCGCTAAATCGCCAATAACTGTTTGAACCCTCGACCCCACGCTTCTGAGCCGATCGTATCTCATCCTTAACACGTCGGCATTTTTAGAACTCGGGAAACCGTCAAACTCTTCATCGAGTTCATCGGCACTCGACTTATCGCCATGAGACAACTTGATATCCATATGTGGCGGGTGTCGTGATCTTGAACGATACTTCCAAATCCCAATCAAAATCAAGTAAAACAACATTGTGCTGAAGATCATTTGTGGGTATACGACAAGAACCACAAACAAAACGTGCACGAGAACCGATAGAGACGGGCTAGTCCAATTGCAGATATGATTGAACCATTTGCAGAACAGAATAAGGCTCGAAAGAACCTCGATGATCCTGCAATAGTTAGCTTTACTCTTTCGCAGGCTCCACATGGTTGAACCCACATCGAGCATGTACTCCACCACCTCTTTCCGCAACGGTGGCTCAGCTCGATTCAGCCTCATGGACATGATCTGAGTCGCTTGGTGCCGCAAACTGTCTTGCTGGAAAATCGTCAGTGGATGAACATAATGCATCCGTGGTAACAATGGTTGTGAATAAACTTGCATCAGATTCAGCATCGATACGCACGTAAACCTCACTGCGAGTTGTATTTCGCCCATTTTTTTCACACCCGATGGCTGTAAAACGATCAACGGATACGAATGAGTGTAGACTCGATCGGTTTCAAGTGTCGATAGTCGGATTCTTATCTTCCCAATTCTTGAATCTTTTGATCCACGACCATTATCCACCCCTTGAAGATGACAGTTATCCAACACAACGATTGTGATCACGGTACATGGATCAAAAACCTCCCAAGTGTACTGTTCGTTCCATTGGGGATTCAAAGAATCGATTACAGTTCTGGTTCGAATCCATTTGTGGCCGTATTTCGCTACACAATAAGCATCAACCGCCCCACGCCCGTTTCTTGTTTTCATCGGTGCTAATCCTTGAGCATTCAATATTCCCAATTCTAGAACACCAATGCTTGGAGTTCCGAGTAATCTAGACGTTGGCCGTAGATCGCTGCTGTACTGAGTCAACTCGTCAAGAACGTGATACCCTCCATCCAAACAGACTCTTACATGAATCCGGCTATTCAACACAACAACATTCACCTGCCCGTTTTCGCCTTTCGTGTGCTTTTCAAGATTATACCATCTGCTAGTTACGACCCGATTATCCATTCGTTTTTCCACATTATGCAGCGAAATCAAACACTTCCCAAGAACTTCTTCTTTGTTTCCAAGTTTCTCCTCCACGCTCAAAACCAGTCGTTCTTCAAATGGCTCCGCTACAACGAACATCAGATCCTCATTCCATAACGGTTTCGGCAAAACTTTAGTCCGCAAAACCAAATTCATGATTGCACCTTTCACAAGAACTTCCGGTTGTCGGTTGTTACCGTTGTTAATATTCTGCAATTCTTGAGCCTCGATCACTTGAACTCGAACATACCAAAGCCGAGGAGATAAATAAACTTTTGATCTTATATTAGTAACCCCATCACCGTTAACCAAAAGGGCATCCAAATGCCAGGCATCTGGGAAAGATTCATCGGCTTGTGTACCCATCCAAACAGCCACCATCAATTCTCCTCCATCTCTGCCGCCATTAACGTTCTCCAGTCGATACCATTGGGCTGCTAACGGACTATCGGGGGGAACCCTAACAGGGAGCTCACTGATATCGAACACAACACCACCAATGAAATCATCCTCATCAGTGTTATTTTTATCTTTAGCAACGAGTTCAAGTATCAGTGACTGAATCCGGCCTTTTGGGAATGCAAACACTTGGTTCCATTCGGGATTCGGATTCTTTTCGTAATGTTTGGTGGAAGCGATAAAATTGCCAAGCTTAATTTCGATATAAGGGTCAGGAAGAATACTAGCATTACCTGTTTTTGGTGGCAAACTTTTGGCCTTCACAATTCTTACATACAAGTAATGCATTTGCTCCACAAGATCAAAAGCTGTTCCAAATCGATCATTGCCAGGAACCCTTCCTCCTCCTAAACTCGGCCTCGTCTCCCTCAGACTGAAATCATCGTTTCCGTTCAAATTCGAATTGGGATCCGAATTCCTGTTTTGATTCTGGGTTTGCCTTTGGTTTTGGTTCTGGTTCTGGTTCTGGTTCTGGTTCTGACTTTGGTTTTGCCTTTGATTCTGGTTCTGATTCTGGTTTTGCCTTTGATTCTGGTTTTGATTTCGGTTCTGGTTCTGGTTTTGATTTCGATTCTGGTTCTGGTTTTGATTTTGATTCTGGTTCTGTCTTGCCATTGTAGAAAAAACTGGAGTGATTCGATTGATTCATACAAAAACAGAGGAAAGGCAGATGAGTTCCGAAATCAATTGGGAATTTGAAAGAGCAATCTGATCAAAACCATAGGAAATCGAAAGGATTTCTTAAGGAATTTATGTTTTCAGAACCGCTACAAACTGTGGAGTATACATGGAACAAGAGATATAGCGATGCCGGTTTTCCTGCAAAATTGGAAAAAATTGAAAACAAATCAAAATTCCAAAAAATAACCGTTGGGTATTCAATTTAGAAGAGGGAAAAAGGGAAATCACATAAATACTCCATTACTCTTCGATGAAGAATATCTGATTCATGCATCAAAACCCAACAAAAAAGGAAAATTAACAAATAAGCTACTAGAATCGTAACAATACACGTGAAACAGAGTAACAGACATGGAGATTTCTCATTTCTTAATACTTTAATATTGCATTGATGTGAAAACGACAATGGTGGAAAGAAATTAGGAAACCCAAATCAAACCTTCAATGAGTATGCAAATCAACGATGAAACTTGAAGGAGACGAAGAAGACGATGATAACGTGGGTTGTTTTCTGCAAAACTTCTTGTTAATGGGGGTCGGTTTCTGCAAGAAGTGGAAACATGGGGTTTGAGAAACAGGGGGGGAGGGGAGGATTTCTATGGTTCCACTGAAAGTGTGAGAAATGGAGGATCAAGTGAAGGTATTCATAGAAGAAACCGATTTTTTATTCCTTGAATTTTTCATTTTATTTTTAATTTCTTATCATCAAATCTAAAACATATTTCATATATTTTTATTTAGAAAATTGAAATAGTATTCTTTGTAGATTGAAAGTACACATTGCATGAGTCAAATAGTATATTGACGTTAAATCTTACCTGTAAATGTTTACTGAATTAACGTTTGGATAAACGACAAATTAATTAATGTGAGACGAGGAAAACGAAGATGTCTTGGAAATTAAAATTATGGGAGGGGTTGGGGTCAACAAGGAGTTTGTGGTGTGG